CATATAGGGACCAGGGAGTGAAAACCTCCCAGGAAAATGAAAAACTAAGGAACACCCTAATTACCATTCATCTCTATGGTATGCGCATGTGCAAATTTCTTGGCTTTTATGCACGTGTGCATGTTACTGTCCAGATGAACGTTTACCATTTTTTTTTTTTTTTTTTGCGGTTTTCCCCTTAAGGTTCAAATGAAAACCGTAAACATTTTGAGACATGAGAACCAAATATTTATTTAAATTATTCATAATGAAAATACACAATATTCATGATGAATATGCATGATATCATGAATAATGAAAATGCATGATATTTATGGTTATTCAGGGTTATTCATCGTGAAAACAACAATAAATAGTCGCTTTCCAGGGAAACAACAATACTCACAGTGATACTTTTAAGACAATCAGAATTGTTGTATGCAATGTTGTTTGACCTCCTAGCATTGTAATTACATAAAGTATTTGGTAACCCTGCATCTTTTGAGTCAACTGATCTTAAGTTTACTTTTGTAGTGGGTCCATGATATTGGTGGTCCTGATAATCTTGGAAGTAAACTCCTCAAGCGAAAAAAAGATGAAAAACTCCCGGTGTTTGTTCCCCCGAAGGTACGTATGAGAAGTTTTATAATAATTTACCGAATTCAGTTATCATTCAAGTTGTTCTGTTTCATGTTATATTTGTCAAAAGAGAAAAAGACCGTGTCACCCGATTATGTCAATCTTCACTATCTGGTATCATACACCTCTTCAAGCTAGAGAGTATGACCTTCTACTTTCCTCAAGACATAAAGGACTCCCTCATACAAAGAATACAATGAATTTCACATCCAAAAAGAGTATTCACAGAAGCAGCCGTTGTACTCTTCATGGTAGAGGTCAAGTCGGGGTACATCTTGCCCTCAGTTTACCCCACCTCCGGGTGGGATATACCGAGTATTCTAAAAATATGGAATAAATTTGAAGACCAGTTGATAACTTTACACACCACTTGATACATATTAACGAAATGACTCTTTATCCATTCTTGAAAAAAATGAAAGGGTGATTTAGGAACATCAAACTTATCGTAATGTTATATTTGGAATCGAGTTGTTTTCTATTGGGCCAGAAAATTGTAAAGCGGACAGTTTCCTTGAGACGGGAAAGGATGTAACGAGTAAAAGTATGACCATGCTGGACACTCTTTTGTTCTTGAAATTTTGCATGAATCATGTGTGTGACAATACAACGGGTTTATGTAGAAGTATAACCCTATGATACATAATTTTAAATGCATAACCTTCTGACAGATTTAAGATCACGTTTGCCTAACAGAATAATGTCTCTTCCTAACACAAAAATTCCCCAAAATCTGTCAAAAGGTCATGCATTTAAAAAAACTGTCATAAGGTTATTCTCCTAAATACCCCCAATAAATACAATGTGTCCTGAACTTCTGATTTTATGCTAGAATTCCTTTCGGAAACAGGCCTAATTTTACTTGATCAAGAAAGATTTCAGCCGTTTAACGTTTATTTGCTGTATGATTCTCATCTGTTCGAAGTGTAAATTTAAACGTGTGTGATTGATCAGCAAACGGTGGAAGCTTTACTTGAATCCGGGTATTCGCTCATCAAGGAACAGCAGCTGATTATGGAAAGTAAACTTTCAAAGGAGTACATGAAGAACATGGATGACTAACAATCAGAAAAGCTGTAGTAGCCATGGCACACAAAATGGTATTTCTGATCTCAACTTTCTCTCTTCATTTTAGACCTACGGGTGCGTTTGGTATGTCCCATATAACGGGACAAGATAGTACAAAAACTTATTGCCCCATATTTGGCACGAGATTAAACGAGGACAGGACATGACATCAGAGGCGGACCCATAATTTTTTTCAAGTGGTGTCACAATTTGACTATAAAAAATATCTAAATATTTTTTTCACTGTATTAGCATAGATCTGTTAGTTGATTTCTTGTACTCACATAAAAGAAGACCAACATTTAAGCTGAAAAAAGAATTTGACAACAGTGGTACTCGAACCTAGGCCTTTTGTACAAAGGAAAGAGTGTTTACCATCTTAGCCATTAAAATCTTGTGTTAATTTTTTTTCAGTTTCAAAATCTATATGGTGACACCCAACAAAACAATACAGTTGCACCCTTCATAAACGTATTTTTTTAATAACAGCAGGACCATGAAGTGGTGTCCTATGCCATCGTATCACTCCATGTTGGTCCGCCCCTGCATGACATGATCTAAGTGGGACAAACATGCATTTTTTTTGTCCCACCAAAATGGGTGAAACATAATTAAAGAACATGAGAGAAAATTAGTAAATTACCAAACTACTCATGTCAAACTAAAATCCTGAAACCTCCCACAATTCTTTCATCCGCCTACAATACAGTCTAGTTTGTTTGCCTACCAAACGCACCCTACAGAAATAAAGAAACCATTTAACAAGTGAAAAGCTCATTGCCTATGTGTTTTTGATCAGCCACATTACTTGTGTATATGATTTTTTTAGAGTGTGCAACTTTTCACTCTATCAATACTTTACTTTTCGTTGCAAATATAAAAAATGACACTAAATTTTGCAAGAATGACTGATTTTGGACAAAAACCATCCTGTTCATTGTTTTTTTTTTCAAATATATTTCTACTGTTTGTCCATTTATTTATATTTTTACGAATTTTAGGCCATGCAATTTTTTTAACTCATTGAAAAAGCCCCGTTTGATTAATCATAAAGCTAACTTTTTGAAAAACTATTTGAAGTAATGTTCCAACAAGCTTCAAGGTTTTTTCCCATTGTGCCCTTTTACTTTTTCTAGTCAATTTTTGAACGTCGTTTTTGATAATTTTATATAGCATGTAGCTTATAAACTAGTTCTTACCAAACTAGGAGTTGGCTTTTTGGCTAGAGATGCAAAAGGCTAGGGATTTATTGGGCCCAAGCCGTATAACATCGTTACTTTCTCTCCCCAACCGATGTGAGATCTTACAATCCACCCCCTTGGGACAGTCCGGTTCTTTACTCTGATACCATTTGTAGCATCTCAGGACAACCGCTGGATATTGTCCACTTTGTTCACACCTAAACTCATAGTTTTAGAACGCGTAAGGTAGAGAAGGTATCTAGTATCAAGCAACCTTAGTTCCCCTCCCCAACTGATGTGGGATCTTACAGGTCAGGCTTGGACTTTGGGTGTAAAATAGGCCTGATTAGAATTTTGAAAAAAAGTTGGTCTAATTGGGTTTTCAATCCTAGGATTCGGCTTGCTAGGTCCAGACTTATTCGGATCGAATTCGGGATTTCTTGTGCATCTCAATTGTTAGTTAACAACTAGCTTATAAGCTAGTTTGCCAAATATAACTTTAGGACCGTTTAACAAACATGTACCTGATAAGTGTTTACCATGTGTTACTTACCTTAACGGGTGAGTAAGGCAATGACCAACAATCTTACCCAACAAAAGACATAACAAAGACCAATAATCTTAATCAGTAAGCGACGGAGAATATTCTTACCCGATAAACTTTTTCCTTGTTGCAACTTTTTTGCAAGATTATTGATTTTTTGGAGAGAAAAAAAAAAACAAGTGTGGTTCAAAAAATTTAATGATTACGTGATGATGAATAAAACCTCTGACAATGGCTTCTTTTTTAGGTGAATATGGTGCAGAAGCGAAATGAAGTGTGAACGTGGTTGACTTTTTGACTTTGAATAAGGCAAGGTTTCTTGTAAAATTTGAATCCAATATTTGATTGTTTTAATCATCAATTTTTTTTTGTTGTTGTTATTTTGTTATATAGATTTGGGATCACGTGAGACCGGCATGTTTTCATGAGACCCGTAAGATTACTTTTTTACACTTGAAACTTCACAACAAAACGTTGTAAAGGTAACTTTCACAGTGTTTTTGCTACGAAGGTTCGGTTTTTTTTTACCTTTACAACGTTTTACTGTGAAGTTTCAAGTATAAAAATGTGGTCTCACGGGTCTCAAAAAAACATGTTGGTCTCACGTAAACCCAACCCTTGTTATCTATACTATATTATAATGCATTTGGCTAAAACTCTTAAAAACTCTTAAACTCTTAAAACTCTTAAACCCATTCATCCCTATCCGATTTCATCACATAACTGAATTCGTGTAACTAACTGCAGATAAACACAATCAAATACAGGATAAACATCTTATTTTAAATATAAAAAATCTAAAATATA